GGACAGGCCTTCCAAACCGTGGAACAAGGTCTTCGTACCAAAACGGATAGGCAAATCGACGTAAAAGCAGACATAAAGCCTCATCACTGTTCACAGAAAAACGGTTCTGATAAGAAATTTTGTCTGGTACGTAGATTCAACACGTCGAGTAAAGCATAGATGTCGTGTTTCAGAAAGCGAAATTCACTCTTGCATTCGTCGTCAGTTAGAGAGTTTAGCTCGAATTTGTCGTATTTTCAGTAAGGAATGTCAAGAGTTTTTGACTTGTTTAAATCGTAGAGTAGCTGCATTTCCTCATCGTCGATCAAATCAAGGTCGTTTACAGGTAAAAGTGCCTCCCTTGCCTCCCTGAATATGGTCATTTTAGTTTCAGGTCTTGATCATGTCGTGTTGTATTGCATTAGGTTTGTTTACGACGGGGACGGCAACGTCAAACCTCGAGTGCTCGGCCCAATACGCGCGCGGTTTGAGGATACCGTCCACATCCACCCGTCCTGTTGCGTAAGGTCTCTATTGTGTATAAAGGATGGGCATGCAGCCATTAAAAATGAAAACCGATCGGAAGGAAACTATTATTACACGTTTTTACACTGGTGACGAGGATTAATCGAACTCATGGCCGTATTGTTAAATACCGCTTCAATTCCGCCGTTTGATCCTATGACGATCATAATTCACTCGCTCACTAATGGCAAATGTGATTCAAAAGCTTAAAAATATTCTCCGACGCAGCTGGTTGCAAAAAGCGATAAACAACGCTCATTGTTTCTCCTTGCTGACTCCTAAGTTACCGCGGTATTTAATATTCAGGACTCCTTATGCGCGTTATCCAACGCAGAAGCTGATTAAAAAACGGCCGCAGAAATGTTGAATCACTGAATATTTCCTTCCACGAGAGAACACCCCATTCTGTCGGCTCAAATTTCGCTAAGAAAAAAAAAAAAACAAGAGGAAAGCGAGACCATCACACAATTCGTTACAATCTAGGAAAATAATACGTAACTATACTTTACGATAAGCCCACCTAGAAAGTCGTAGAATAAGATTAAGCTGTCCATGTATTGTTCTTAAAAACAGAAAATATAATCAATGTTCTTTTAATTCATTGATGTGGCTATACCCACAGATGGGAATACTTTCGTCCAAAAAGCTTTAAAGTGCAAAGATTTAGAAATAGAAACGGCTCGAAATAGAGACATTAGAAAATAGGTTATTTCAGCATTAAAGGTGCTCTTAAGGAGACTGTATAATGAATCGAGAAGAAAATTCTTGGGTTCGAAAATTCTCGTAGAAGGCACAAAAAAGTGGCCTCAAAGCCATGATACTCGAATTAAATGATACTATACTTCATTGAGAAGG